GCCAGCGACATAAAAACGTAGCAAGGTGAAGATTCGATTCACGAAAATGTGCGTCATCAAAGACAATCAGTTTGTTATTTGACTGAAATTGAGTTTTTAGGAATACAGAGCAGATATTTAAAGATGAAATTAAGTTGTGTATGAGCACCTACTTTACCTACAACTCGTATTTCTTATAGGATCTGATGTACGCGAGATGATGTTAACATTGGTAATAATAACGTGGAGCAAATAACTTAGAATTGAAGTTAAATTAATAAGATAATACCAGATAGAGCCAATCCCTTATCTGGTGAAACTGATAATTGTGCAGGCATTGACTTACGTCGAAACACTACAACGCATTTACAAAATGATTAACCCAAATAAAAAATGGGTAAGGGCGAGATTAAAAAAAGGGAGTACAAATCAAAGTAATAATATTAAGGTACATAAGTACATAGATATGGAAATATGAATCGAATGAGAAAGTTGGAATATAAAGTTACCCTGTTGCCCGAGTGATAGACACAGTTTTAACGAAAGGCAAGGTTTGGACAGTAATTAGAAAACGTTGAATTTGACACTAGCACATTCTTATTACTGATCAAATTTGGTACAAGAATTGAGTGAATTCAATTTTTGAATACAATGACCTGTTTAGCATGTATTTGTTGCTTTTGGTGAGTTAAAAAAGAAAATGTGATTTGATGTAGCAAAAGATGCGTGCAAAATCAGTATAGTTACGTGTTAAGTTTTTTTAAGTTGCTTGGTAAGCTGAAAAAATTATGTGTTGAGGACAATGTTAGTAATAATTTCATCAAAAGCCTGCATAGTTGAGAGTTGAAAGTTTTGTGGAACGTATGCAAAGTTGCATGCAAATGTTGGTATGAAAATACATTGAAAGTCTGTATTGCAACATGGCATAAAGTCTGCAAAGTTGGTAAAGTTGTGAGGCAAGTTGGTCAAGTCGCGTGCAAAGTTGCAAAGGTAGTTAGGAAACCGACAAAGTTCCATGAAAAATTGCTAAAGTTACATGACAAGTTTGCAAATTTGTGTTAAAAGTTGGCAAAGCTCCATGAAAAGTATGCAAGTTGGTAATGTTATGTTGAAGTTCTGTATTGCTATGTTAGAAGTCTGCAAAATATGCAAAGTTACATGGCAAATTAGTAAAGTGGCATTCAAAGTAAACTTGTAAAGTTGCGTGAAGGGTTTGCAAAGCTGCATGCAGTATTGATAAAGGTAGATGTAAAACCTGCAAAGTTAAATTGATAACAGGACACTGAACCAATCTCTTTGCATTCATGTAAATCCTCCACTTGATGTGGTACATACAAATGAATGATTACAATAGAAAATGGGCAGTAACTTTCACTCGGTTATTGACAACGCTATCACAACAGGGTTGTATTTGCAACTTTAATTAACTTATGACTATAAAAATATTATTTGGCGATCACAAAAAAGTTGCATCACAGAGCCATAATAACTAATGTACAGTTCTGTATTACATAGAAGCATATCATTATTAAATATAAGACAAGACAAACGAAAAAATGGGGATTGCTTCAGTTTGAAACCTGTACATTTTTGGGGGCTATTTTGTGTACTGTAAGTGTGCCACATACAATAGAAATGTTTGTTAAATTCATATATTCTGAAGTATTATTGAACAAATGTTATACATTGAACATATAATTTAATAATCTAAAATAAAATTTAGAACCTGCATCATTTTTCTATTTTCCATTGTTTGGCCTAATTCTATGATGTATTTTAGATATGTTGTTTTACTTCAATTCCAGATCACACCGACATGA